GGAGGATCGATATCAGTGGCTACCAGCCACGGTGACTAAACGGAACCTCCACATTCAGAGGCAGTCAACCCCTGAACCCCAGTGCCTAGAGGCAGCGTCAGGGGAAGGCCTCGGCTTCTATGTCCTATTGGTGGCCCTCCAGAGGAACTGGTAGAGGCCACTGTGTGAGGCAGGATGCTGGACTATGCCGAGGGAAACGGAGGATCGATATCAGTGGCTACCAGCCACGGTGACTAAACGGAACCTCCACATTCAGAGGCAGTCAACCCCTGAACCCCAGTGCCTAGAGGCAGCGTCAGGGGAAGGCCTCGGCTTCTATGTCCTATTGGTGGCCCTCCAGAGGAACTGGTAGAGGCCACTGTGTGAGGCAGGATGCTGGACTATGCCGAGGGAAACGGAGGATCGATATCAGTGGCTACCAGCCACGGTGACTAAACGGAACCTCCACATTCAGAGGCAGTCAACCCCTGAACCCCAGTGCCTAGAGGCAGCGTCAGGGGAAGGCCTCGGCTTCTATGTCCTATTGGTGGCCCTCCAGAGGAACTGGTAGAGGCCACTGTGTGAGGCAGGATGCTGGACTATGCCGAGGGAAACGGAGGATCGATATCAGTGGCTACCAGCCACGGTGACTAAACGGAACCTCCACATTCAGAGGCAGTCAACCCCTGAACCCCAGTGCCTAGAGGCAGCGTCAGGGGAAGGCCTCGGCTTCTATGTCCTATTGGTGGCCCTCCAGAGGAACTGGTAGAGGCCACTGTGTGAGGCAGGATGCTGGACTATGCCGAGGGAAACGGAGGATCGATATCAGTGGCTACCAGCCACGGTGACTAAACGGAACCTCCACATTCAGAGGCAGTCAACCCCTGAACCCCAGTGCCTAGAGGCAGCGTCAGGGGAAGGCCTCGGCTTCTATGTCCTATTGGTGGCCCTCCAGAGGAACTGGTAGAGGCCACTGTGTGAGGCAGGATGCTGGACTATGCCGAGGGAAACGGAGGATCGATATCAGTGGCTACCAGCCACGGTGACTAAACGGAACCTCCACATTCAGAGGCAGTCAACCCCTGAACCCCAGTGCCTAGAGGCAGCGTCAGGGGAAGGCCTCGGCTTCTATGTCCTATTGGTGGCCCTCCAGAGGAACTGGTAGAGGCCACTGTGTGAGGCAGGATGCTGGACTATGCCGAGGGAAACGGAGGATCGATATCAGTGGCTACCAGCCACGGTGACTAAACGGAACCTCCACATTCAGAGGCAGTCAACCCCTGAACCCCAGTGCCTAGAGGCAGCGTCAGGGGAAGGCCTCGGCTTCTATGTCCTATTGGTGGCCCTCCAGAGGAACTGGTAGAGGCCACTGTGTGAGGCAGGATGCTGGACTATGCCGAGGGAAACGGAGGATCGATATCAGTGGCTACCAGCCACGGTGACTAAACGGAACCTCCACATTCAGAGGCAGTCAACCCCTGAACCCCAGTGCCTAGAGGCAGCGTCAGGGGAAGGCCTCGGCTTCTATGTCCTATTGGTGGCCCTCCAGAGGAACTGGTAGAGGCCACTGTGTGAGGCAGGATGCTGGACTATGCCGAGGGAAACGGAGGATCGATATCAGTGGCTACCAGCCACGGTGACTAAACGGAACCTCCACATTCAGAGGCAGTCAACCCCTGAACCCCAGTGCCTAGAGGCAGCGTCAGGGGAAGGCCTCGGCTTCTATGTCCTATTGGTGGCCCTCCAGAGGAACTGGTAGAGGCCACTGTGTGAGGCAGGATGCTGGACTAGATGGTCCCTCACTGGTCTGACCCAGCAGGGCTCTTCTTGTGTTCTTATGAGGGGAAGGCCTCGGCCTCCCTGCCCTGTTGTTGGCCCTCGAGAGGAGCTGGTTGAGGCCACTGTGTGAGACGGGATGCTGGACTAGATGGACCCTCACTAGTCTGATCCAGCAGGGCTCTTCTTACATTCTTATAACATGAACTTATTTCTCTCCTGGATATCAGCACAGCCAAATATGAAATTGCTCAGTGGCTTGAAGCCTGTAAAGGGGACGGGACGGGCTTTCTATTGCCAGGACCCGTACTGGGCTCTGTCGCAAGCAAAGGCTTTCCTCCCAGCCCAGGCCAAGAAAGGAACATCGCATTTCCATTTCCTCTCCAGTGCCAAGAATGGGCCGAGAGAAAGTCCGCAGAGAAAGCGAGAATAAGCAAAGAGGGGAAATTCCTCCAAGCCTAGAAGGGGAAGTATCTTTCCCTGTCTACCCCCCCCACACACACACACTTTTCGGGGGGAGGAAAACACAGATGTTTAATGTGCTATCTTAAAAGTGAAAATTATACCGCAAATCAAAGCTGGGTGGGGTCGATCTTTCTATTAGGGGAAGAGAAACAGGAAGAGTTTTGGAGGGAAAGAATGGACCAGACCCAAAGAGAGAGAGGAAGCCATTCTGGGTCAAGATTTCACCATTCAGTAGCCGGAGAGCACCAGGAAGCGAAGGGGTTGTAAGCGACAGAGGCGTCTGAACGAGAAGGGAACTGCTCAAGCTATTTCAAAAAGGAAGGAGGGAGGGAGGAACTGCCAAGAAGCCAACACGGCAGACGTAGGATGCTAAACCAACACCCTAAAACCAGGCAGAAGGCAGTTACGCCCTCACGCCCACATCTCCGCACCTGGCCCATCTGGTCTCTCCAGCCCCGCCACCCTTGCTTCCCCAAAACAGCCGTAAGCGATCCAGGATTCAGGGCAGAGCCACGGCCTGCAATAAACACCTTCGCATAGCACCACGCGAGACCCCCGATGGGGACAGTCCAAAGGGCCGCGGATCTAGCGCGGCATCCGGTCTGCCGGCCACACACCTCCAGAGGAAGCACATCCTGAAGGCCTCAAGGCAAACAGGCATCCCCTTTCACGTGTCGCCTGATATCTGGCGACACAGAGGTAGACTGCCTCTGAATACGGAGGTTCTAGCTAGCATACCACAGAAGGTCTTGCCAAAGAAGCTGTGCTGGATCAGACCACGGGTCCACCTAGTCTAGCATCCTGTGGCCAGTCATGGTACCACGGGGGTGTCCACAAGCAAGCACCACTGTCCGCAGGCCTCAGCCACCGATTTACTCGCCAGCACGTCACAATCGCCCTGACCTGGATGGTCCAGGCAAGCCCGAACTCATCAGATATTGGAAGCGAAGCAGGGTTGGCCCTGGTAAGTACTTGGACAGGAGACCACCAAGAGGTAGGCTACAGAGAAGCAGGCAATGGCAAACCACCGCTGAATGCCTCTTGCTTTGAAAACCCCACAGGGACACCATAAAGCTAACAGAGGAATTCTGCTCCCAAAGTCAGCAGTCATGGGCTAGTAGCCACTGGTGGATCTTTCCTCACAGAAATGCGTCCAACCCCCTTTCAAATCCATCTACACTAGCAGCAGCCACCACATCCTGTGGCAGTGAGTTCCACAAGTAAAATAAATTTAAGATAATCTGGAATAAATAATTTACACTTCAATAATCAAGAAGAAGAGGAGATTGGATTTATACCCCGCCCTTCACTACCCAAAGGTGTCTCAGAGCGGCTTACAAACTCCTTTCCCTTCCCCTCCCCACAACAGACACCCTGTGAGGTAGGTGGGGCTGAGAGAGCTCTTGACAGAAACTGCTCTTATCAAGAACGGCTCTTATCAGAACTACCGCTTGCCCAAGATCATCCAGCCAGATGCAAGAACCGGGAATCAAACCCGGTTCTCCCAGATTAGAGTCTGCGCACTTAACCAGTACACCAAACTGGCTCAATACACTCCATACTCAAAAGCTACCAGAACGGGTTTAAGTTGCCGGTTTTGCATGTGTCAAAGGGATCTGTATTCCAGGGAAAATTAAGGGACGGGGGTCAAATAGGCAAAGCTCTGTTGACAGAATGCTTTCAAAAGAGGGACCAAATCAGAAACTAGCGAAAGGTTTGGGCGGTGGCGGCAAAGGAACTGGAAAGGAAAATATTCTGGAGCTACTATCCTTGCAAGAATTAAGAGGGGGTGGGGGGGGCAGATGATGAGATCAATGCCTTTGTCAGGAATTTTGGGGTGGGGTGGGGAATTGCCCCTTAAAAGCTGCAAGCGACCACAACAGGGCAGGGGTGTGTGTGTGCCTGCACCATGTCCCAATTAAAAAGAAAATACAGACAGAAATGTTTGGGGAAGGGGGGGTTGAAGAAAAAACAGGTGGCATTTGGGGCTCAGGGCATCGTGGGGGGGGGGTGTCCAGCCAAAGCCGCTCTCGGAAAGGGAAGCGACGGAAGGTGACGAAGGGGGTCGGCCCTACATTTGCCCAAGAACTGTGGCGTCTCCGGAAACAACAGGTCTGAGGTAGACACGGAGAGAGTAAATATTCCTCTCCGATTGACATTGCAAGGGGGGGGGGTCTGTGAAGTAATCCAGAT